GCAATCAGTTTTAATTTCAACAGTGATAGCCACCTATAGCTTTTTGCACATGGATTTTATTTCCTGCATTGACCCCTTTACTAAGTAGGCATTTCTTGCTCGCATAGGAAGCCTCCCCCTGAAGAATAAAACTAAGGTCATGGGGGAACTAATGATGGTCAAACCACTGTGCGTGTTTAGGGAAATGCTATTCTTGGACAGAGCAAGGAAGAGAGGCAGAGCTAAATAGTCTCAATTCAGTGGGAAATGGCAGCATCAGAGAAGGAATCTCTATGGGCATTTGAGTGTCTCCTATGTGTAATTAAGTAAGTTCACATCTGGGAGAGGACTCAGCTGCTTTCAAATTATGCCTGGCTCTTAGGTGCCTGATGGCAGACGTATAAGTCAAACCCAGTGTCAGGATCCTTGACTCCATGTATAGGTATTGGAGTAAGCAGGAGGCCTTTGAAAGACAGCCCGTACAAACCAAGTGGAGCTCTTGTAGCCAGCTATTCATCTGCCCTGAGAAATGCTGATCTGATGTTGGCAGCTGACACTGGTCTCAGCCAGGGTGGTAGATTTAACTTGTGCTCAGAGTGATCCTGGAGTCCAAAGCAGGGTTTAAATGCACAAAACTACAGTGGCTCCCTCAAGGAGAGCCCCTTGCCTCCCAGCGGGGTAGACCTGGTGGCTCTGGTGGGGCTGGTTTGGTTCTGGTCACGCCTGCTGCCCAGCGGCTGCAAAGCTCTGACCCCACTGCCTGGCCCTGCTGGACACCCTCTTCCCCTTGGCCAGCCTCCAAATAGCTCTTCCACACACCCCAGCCTGTCGCCCTCTCTCCTCAGCAGCCCAGCGGTCTCCTGTGGCCCAAACACAGCACGGGCCGAGGCCGCCTGCTCCATGGACTGTGAGAACTCTGCATCCAGCCCCGGGGGACCCCAGAGCTATTTCCCAGTTCCTCCCAGGGCCTCCTCGGCATTTCCCCCTGTGCTCGCCGTTACCACTCCCCTTTCCCGAGGTCTTCCCCTTTGTCCTCCTGCAGGTTCCCACAGCGCTGCTGTCCTGCCCTGCTCCTCCGTGTTGGGTGCTGTTGCACGGGGCATGGCCCCACTCTGTGTCCCCAACTCCTGCCATCCCTTTAGGCACCCTCCTGCCCCTGCTCCCACTAGCTGCTGCTCCTACCGTCCGCACAAGCTGCTCCAGCCTGGCTCATGCTGCTCCTTCCTGCTCCTGCTGCTGGGAAGGCACTCGGCAAACCTGATCCTTGCTGATTTCACACCCCCTAACTTCCTCCTTTGAAGAGAAGTTATTAGCCATTTATTTATCCACTTTTCTTTTGCTGTCTTCCCCCCACCTCCATTTCTGACTTATTCCTACTCTCTTCCTCCATTTCATGGCCTTGGCTTCCAGCTTCCTTCCTTCCTTTCTTCCCTCTTTTCACACACTGCCCTCATTTCCCCATGTCTTTGGTAGCAAGCAGTTTGAGTCTAACTACCTAAGGGACGATTTATATGTAATATCTCTCAGTACTATGGATTAATACATCTGCTTATCTCTTCTCCAGAGATTATTTCTTCTCTTGTAAATTAAATAGTAGGAGGCAGGTCAAAAGCCATAGGAATAATTTATTTTCTAAAGCTCTTACTGGAAGGCAAATGCTCATTTCAGAGTATTTACATAACTGCATAGGTGATTAGCAAAACAGCTGTGGCAATGGAGGGGAAGTAAAGCTCTCTCCGTTTGTCCGGGTAGCTTACAGGTAGGGCTGAAAACCTTGCAATACCTGCTCTGAAAGAGCCTGCCCTGCAACCCAGACTGGAAAGCTGCAGTGCACTTGCTCTGCTTCCCGTTGTTTCGGGACACCAGCAAGTGTTTCCTGAGAGGGGATGTCCGCGTACGTGCGATTCCCCTTTCCCGCTCCCCCGGCCGGGCAGAGCCACGGACTTCCTGAGCGCTGCCCTTGGTGAGAGCCGGGAGCCCAGCGCGAGTCCACGAGCGCCTGGGAGCTGAGCAACAGAGACAGCCACCACCTTCTGTTAAGAAACTTTTATTTGTCCTTTGGATCTGTAATGTAAGCACATAAAATTACAAGTGGAAGAAACATCATGCCACAAAATTGCATAGAATCTTTACAAAAATGTGAATTATGCCTCTGAAACAATCATAGATCGAGAAACCCAAAAATATGTACATGTTAACTGAAGCATCTCATCCTACTCTGAAAGCAAATCATCAAAGACTAATCAATCACAGACACTATTAATACAATGTACAAGAGCAACACTGATTTCAAAGAAAGGCAAGCAATGATGTCCCTTTAGTTATATTTCAGTGAATGTTTACCTAGTACATGAGCATTAATTAACATAATTATGAACATGTTAAATCTAAAATGCCTGGCCTTCATTAGAATTTTTAAAATTCTGTTTATACTGCCAAAACCAAGCTATTTTCAGTAGTGTAAAGATATCTGAAGTGCACAACCTAGTTTAATATAGACAGCTCTATTCTATACAGCAGAAAGTCCACGATACAGCATTTCCACACATTCAACACGGAACAAGGCAAATACATAAAAGGCACAAGACTTGCACATCATAAAGACCCTTTTTCATTATCTTACTCTAGTTCAAGTAATATCAATATTAAATGATATCTGTTTCACTGAAATAGTTTGAACAATGCAAGATGTACAGTATTACACAACTACCTTACACCTGCAGAAAGTGGCACTGTACAGATTTAAAAAAATGTGAGTACAGTAAATGGTCAAATACAAACGTACTGTAAAATGACTACAGCTGATAGTATACTTAACCCAACCAGTATAGCTTTTTTTTAATATAAATAAAAGATTAATTGGTATTTGCCCAAGATTCTTTGAAGACTGTGGTGAAGTCCTGGCTCCGCTGAAGTCCATGGGAATGTAACGCTGAAATTCAAAGGAGCTAAGAGTTTACCTAAAAGCCTGCACTGTACAATCACTTCCATAATGCATTAGTCTTCAGTTTTATTGTGAACACTGCTATTAGTATATTCCTTTAATAATTTAGACAATATGTAATTTTTACTTTATAAAATGCAGCATTACATCTTGACCCTCTAAGTTTTCAATGAAAGATTAATATTGATTTCAAAGTGCAAAATAATGATTTACAGAGGATTCATCTTCTCTAATATTAAGATGAAAATCAGACTTTTGAATTTTGTGATTACTAATTTTATCATCGTAAATCAGAATAGTTTAATCCAAAATATGATCTCCAAACAATGTGCAATTTTTCTTTCTTTCCGCTCTAAGTTTAGAAAAGAAACACCAAAATACTGTTTTTTTTCCAAGATTTGAACTTATATATATACACAGTTATTTAACTGAAAACTTAAGCTTGATTTGTATTTTATTGCTTAAATTTAAATAAAATAAGCTTGTCAAAGTACTAAAATCCTGAGGGAAAGGAAGTAAAGTAACTTAAGTGTTACGATGAATTAAAATGCCTGGCTATGTAACTGACTTCTTTCTCTATTTGCTTTTTAATATGAAGTAAGGCCCCGATCTTGCAAACGTGCACGTGAGCACTGGAGAGCTCCACGGCGTCCAGGGCTACTCTTTGTGCAGATAAATCATCTACGGGGTCTGCAGGATCCAGCCTAACTATGAAAATCTATGTACTTTGAGCTAGTTTATCATCTACCCTAAGATGCCTTTTCACAACGCTACTGAGGGAAAGGCCTTTAGTCAATGGCTTGGGTGCAAATGAGAATCCATCTGCAACGTTCCATAATTCCTATTTCTGTTAATACAGGATGCCAGAAAATAACATTTCTTTACCTTTCCAAATATCTTGACTTTGACAGTCTGTTTTTCTATATAAATTTCTGAAAATGTGCTGTTACTTCTCTCATGCATGCCACACGTCATGCCATACAGTCTGATTTTTCTTATTTTCACAAGTCTGTTAAATGGATTAATATACATTTTAAATAACAGTGATCAGGTTTTTATAATTTGCTTTTAAATTTCAGACCTTAGTAAAACTGAACCTCAGTCTTGAAAATAATGGAAGATTCTGTTAAATTTCAAATACTGTAGTCCTAAACATTTTTATAATCCTATGAAATTCAGTAAGCTTAAAATATGATACTTAAAATCAATAACTTTGAGTCTGCAAAATATATATCAAATTTATATTCTAAAACTATTTTGATTTACAACACTAACACCACAAAAAGAATTTCATGATTCAATGATTATTTTATATCAGTATAGCCCAGATGTTAGCTTTCATAAAGGTTCTCTAGTCACGTATCCCTGAAACTTTTCATCTGGCCAAGAGACCATGCTGACTTCAAATAGAAACATGCCGTGCGTGTATATAAATGTGTGTGTGGGCACACATATTTATGTATATTTATATATATACAAACATATATGCACTCACACAGTGTAACAAACACAAACATACACAGACACAATTCCTAGACAAAGTTCTTCTCTCCGTTTTCCTCTTGTCTCCACAGTTCCAAGTATTTTCAGCAGCAAATAAACTTCTTTCCACATGATAAACATAACATTGAGAGAGCAAGCCACCGGTGCTTGCAAAGCTAAAAAGGATTAAATGTTTCAGTGCAAACGTAAAAGGGTGGTACAGCTGTCAAGGTGCAGTTATAAAGTAGGAAACAAACATGATTAAGTACAGTTATAATATTCTCTAGGATCTGTACTAGTTTGGAGCACTTTGCACTGGCACTTCGAAAGGAAATCTGCGCACGCTTGTCTCTGCACAACACACTGGTCTTCATTAAACATTCTTAAGAGTGAACGTGGCCAGAAAATTACCCATTGTGAATTGGCCAAAAGAAAAATAAGGAGAGGATGGTTAACATGTTAATTTTCCCATTACGACTGTGCGAGCTTTCGCATAATAATGACATGGAGAATGAGAATGAAGACCTTTGCACAAAGCTTTTATAAAACGTTCCTTTTGG